AACGAGCGCAACACACTTATTTGAAAAAATATTTGAATATTTTCCCATAGAATACTGTATTTGCTTTTAGGTGTGGCACACTCGGGAAACCATGTCTTTCTGAGAACAGAATCACAACTTTGCCGCAATAAACGAAATTTTCGTCGCCACAAAGATTTTTTTTCAGCTCAAACAAATATGTTTATTTTGAAATAAATTTTGATTTTAAAAATCGATGGTTTCGTTTGACTTTGGTTTCTCACGAAGTTTTCGTTAGAATAACCTTTCTACTCTACACAGAAGTCGTTTTTCTTAGTGCACCTGTTCGAATCAGGCGGCTGATTTGATTAACCAGATTAACCACGCTCACTTCTGTAGTTACACTGCACCCCATGCAGGCTTGCGGGCCAGTTTGCCCATACGCTTGGAGCCATAAGGGATCATCCAGAAAGTGCGTCCGTTTTTCTTCGATATTCTTTCGGCAAATTGCGGCAGCTCCGGCGCCTGCGAGACTCCGGGGTAGGCCATCCCGCACTACCTGCATGCACTGCAGACAAGATGTTGTCTACCTATCAGGCGCTATGACAGCTTGGCAAGTTTTTGTAACGGGCCCAAGTGAATTAGGCAAACCCATCGGCAAACCTGTGAGTGGGACAGTAACCACAGAGGTGGGTGGGGTTCATCAGCCACACGCCACACGCCAGTATGGAGTACAGTATAACTCGACGTGCAACTACAGAAGTGGGCGGGGCTCACCAGCAGCACGCCTGTGTGCGGTACAGTATAAATACAGAAGTGACACTGACTTTTTGTTAGGCGCAAGCGTATCTAATTTACCGTAAACTCGTCAGTATCGTAAATGTGCTGCGTCCCTTTCTCCTACAAATCTGATCAACTGGGGAATCCGCACCCACAGTCTGATTGGTACGAGCGCACATGTATGCAGAACTCGTTTCCTCTCGGGCCTTCCCCCGGCGAGGGAAGGGCGGGCTGGCTAGGGGGACGCGGGTAGCGGGCTGCCCGCCCATGCGCCCGCTCA